CGGTGCAAGTCACAACAATAACCAATAAACGTAAGCTCAGATTTAGGTTCCAAGCTTAAACATAACAGTTTAACCTTCCACTCGTACTGTGCGTGACATTCTTCTCATCATATTCTTTACTGACGTTAACATGATGGTTTAAGATTCTCATACTAATAATCAGGAAACCGGTCTCTTTAAATCACTTTGGGAACAGAAAATAACAATTTAGGTAAACATGCGATTTCTGTTTGCGTTTTCACATAAATTGACGCGTCGCCTAAACATTCGTACACATCACTTATCACGTCCATCAACTAAACTGAACGTTTCTTTTATTGTTTAACCTAATCTGCTATAATAACGCTTCAATGGTTTCAGAACACCTCTCCAATCATTATTATTTCTCTCTAGAGTAAGTAGTTCGTTTTGAAAAGGTTTATTAAGTATTAGTTCAATCGCATTCACAATCGAAGTAGCTTCGCTTCATAATTTGGACCACAACGTGCTAACAGATCGTGATCTCGCTCCGCGGCCGTCGGTAGCGGTGAGGCTCCATAATAACACCGCGCATTTCATCCCATACCTGACCCTTCACCGGCCAATTCCAAATATTACCAGTCTGAACAAACAGGCGTTGCTGTGCAGACCTTACGTAAATGGTGATGAATTAATCATCTTGAACATGACTGTAGATTAAAATTATTTATAGTAAGTAAGAGATATTTTGTCGCGTGTATTGTGTTTCCACTAAGATAAGGATACATCAGTGTACTGTAATAATTGATTTTAACGAAAAAGCGACGTAAGTTTTGAGGAAGTGATGTATCTTGAATTATTTTTAAAATCAAATACGAAACATAAAACGATTTAACAAGAAAAGATCTCAAAGGTTTTTCTAGACCAGAACAGTGGCTGTACATATATTTTCACCAAACTAAAAAGTATAACTTTAGTTGCTTTTTATAGCTTAAAGGTCTATAAAAAGCAACTAAAATAAAACTAGGTAAAGTATAGCCTAGAATTTTAGTGGAAATACTTTTTACTATATACGGCTGAAGGTAAAACATTTTATTTGCTTATATTTAACTTTCATGAAGATGCTATTGTTTATATTATTATCGAATACTCAACATATATTACAATACAATGCCGCGAAACGGAATCAAAACAAAAACGAACCGAGAACAATTTGTAGTAAGTAAATTCAGTAAACAGATAAGTTATCTCAGAGATAAAGGGCATAAATCTAGCCAACATTTACGCTACTTTAGCATTTTGTACTTTTTAACGGTACGGGCCTCAGGAAACAGCGTTTTTATTCAAAGTAGCCACTTAGTAAATAAAATATGTCCTCCGTACGAAACAATGAACAGCGCTCGGGAGGGACGAACCGGAGTCCTTTTTCCTCGTTTCCTGAATTTCCTTTTTTTTGTATTGTGTTTTGTAAAGTTCATGTAACGCCAGATGCGAGGGTCTACGAAAACAAATGAAGTATACTTAGTACCAAAAAAAACTGAAAATTAAAACGCAAAATAATTATTTACTTTAAAAGTGTCAAAACAATTTTATTCATGTTCCATTATTATTAGAAAACTGCACTACTTTCATAGGATATGTTACTTACGAAGTGAAACTAATTTGGCGTAATTTTCACATACCGAGAAAGTATTTAAAAAAGATTTTAAAAACTGTTAAATGAATTTATAAAGCTTTTGTTTTCCTTAAAAAATTAAACATTTAGAGATAAATTTTATTAATGTTTTAACACATTTTTATTGGCTCAAAGTGTACGTCCATTTGTTGATAATGGCACCGAAAAAATGTTTAGTTGTAAGAGAATTAGCATTTGTTTGGGCCTCGTTTCTGGTTAGCGGTACTCGAAACTCGCTCGTTAACTAATTCATTTAACATTCATTTTTATATTGTTATTTGTTTTAATTAACTTTATTTTTTAAATAACGTTATATAGAAAATCTTTCAATAATTTCAATGTACATTTTATTCTTAACTTGTCGCGTGTGACTCCGTCTACGCGATATTAAAAAAAGATTAATAGCTTATGTATTATTAGTATTCTTAATGAGATTGTTTACATGGATGGATTTATGCATGTTTGTTAGAAGGTATCTCCTGATTGTGATGAAATTCTACATCCGTGCTGAATATCATAGTCTGGAAGAACACATAGACTTATTAAGTTTTAATTTTTAATTCCGCGCGGACGGAGTCACTGTCTACAACTAGTAATACATAAATCTAACATCGCAATTTTATAGTATCATTAGTTTCTTTTAAGAAATCTACGAAATTAATTGAAACTTTTTTTTAATTATCTTGATTACAATTAATGTCGTCATAAATCAATCTCGTTAGATTACCATATAAGAATCAGTTCAGTTATTTATAAAATGTGCACGTTTTCTTGCGTTTACTGAACTTAATTACAAAGTACTTCTTATGGGCATTGGATATCTAGAATTCTCAGTGAGATCGGTATGTAGTCATTGCAACATCTATTTCCTAAAAGACTAGTGAGATATGTTACTTTATAATAGTTCCCACTTGTTTTGTATAAAATTAATCATCGAAAACAAACAAAACTCCGTTCTATGTATACGTTTCTAAGCTATTGATTAGATTGTGAAACTTTTCATTATACTGAGGATGCTTGGGTTTACAAAAATACTTAGGAAAAAATTGTTATCATTTTGTCCCATTCGGCGTCGAGACCCTTGGCCCGTGAGGTCCTAGCGCTTTAAGACTTTTTAAGGACATTTCCAAAAAATTAATCGACATCACAGGGGACCGAAGAGCTGGCAGCTACCTCGGTCAAAGAATTAGTTTAGCTGTACAGAGGGGGAACGCTGCCAGTATCTTCGGGACCTTGCCTAAAGGGACTCCTTTTAATAACATATTTTAGTTAATTATTCGTTTTTTTTTAATTTTATTTTATATCAGAGATTTAAGACTATATATATTATAGAAATAAGTATGTACATATAAAAAATAGTTATGTTTTAAATATTTTTGGTTAAATATTGTTTTGACTTTAACTTAGCGTTACAAGACTCTTGTTACCAAATTGTCTTAATTGTATAAACTCCTAATAAGTAAATCAATACTAAAGAACAAGTTTGAATCGAATTCATCTGTTTTATTAAGTTATATTTCCGTATAAAAACTTTTTGCTTACGAAATAAATACGAAGTTATAGCTTTTATAAAGTTAAAAACCATTTCTATACTTTCAGTTTAAGTATAAATATAAAACATAGCATGAGACATATTACGTTTGCGATTCGAGATATGGCACTTAATTGAAGTGGACATCACAGCGATTTACTGACCGGAGAGCGTTCTAAGAAACAATTTATGCCCCCACATAAATCGAAATCGTTAAACCCCTCCCTCCCACTTCGAAAGGCGTGGTTTAAACACGCCCAGTAGCTCCGCCCATTTGGACATTTTCCTCTGGTTATATAATATTTTCCAAGCGGGTGGTGGGTGGACAATCCTGTGGGAAGGATGCCAGAATTATTGAATTTATCGTAGACATCACAAGATGGCGAACTAAGCTATACGCTACAATGCTAGTATGTGTAGGTCGGTGGAGGACTCTCAAGTTTTTATGCGTTGGGTGTATCTTTATTGGCACTAAACGTCTCCACAAGAAGGAGAGTTAATAGCAATTCTACTTTTTACATTCAACTATTCCTTTATTTACTTGGCTGTAAAATAACTATTGCTTTGTGTGTTAGATAGGCTTAGGTTGTAGTTAGATAGAGGTTTAGTTTAGTTAGGTAATGGTAGATTAAACTTTTGTCTTAATTTATAAAGCGTCAATAGCCTAATGGTTAAGGATACGGATTTCCGACCACAAGGTCGGGGGTACGAATCCCGCCATTCGACTATTGTCGTAAACCATATCCTAGCACAAGCCTAGAGCTTAGTTGGAATGGTAAAAGAAATATTAGTAAATTTCCAAAAAATCTGCTAATATTTTTATAAAAAAAAATTAATAACGACATACTTTGTTCCAATTTTGTTTTTAAAAGCTTGTAGGATATCTTATTCTATTTTATGTCCATTTACATCATTCGATATCAGAATTTATAAAATAAAAAATGTGGTTCTTATTTCTGGTAGTCCTTTTATTTTCATAATAAAATGAATTGTAATATGTCAGGAGAAACAAAAATATAGAAAAAAAAACTTTTCATTAATAAATTCTCAAAGGAGAACTTATAGATGAAAAGTTTTTTTTTCGCACGTAAAGTCAAGTGAACTTGACGTTCAAACGGAGGTACAATGACAAAAATTTCTTTTGATATAATGCAAGTAAGGTATAAACATAAATTCTAGATACTTCTACGCACCTACCTGACATGCCTTTAATATTAATATGAAAAAGAACTTAACTGAAAATTTTATTCTGTGCATTAAATATTTCTTATTTCAGAGTTTTGCTTCGGTTTAAAATGTAGAATATTATTACTGTTAGCATTATTATTGTTTGATTTTTAAATTTTAACATTGAAATATTATTTCGTTCCTTTATTAATTAAGGACTGACAAAAGTTAAAGTAGTCAATTGACTTTAATATCCAACTATCGTCTTAAACCTTTGATTCGGCGATTTTTTTGTCAATTTGGATTTTTGTTCAATAAAATTAAAAGTTGCTTTTTTAATTAAATAGTATCCAAACAAACTAATTAAGAACTGCTAAGACATCTAGTTAACATATCCAGTTATCCGGTGACGTAACTAGTTTTGAACCCATCCGTCGGTGATTCTTCTTCAGGGGAGTTAAAACTCGGTTAAACATTACTAAACCTAGAATTTTTTTTTTGATAATTAATAATTGTACTGAGAAAAGTAGGTAGTTAAAATATCTACAAAATTTCAGGAAATATATCGCATGTGATTACTTCAAAAGTAGTGATCCATTAAAGAAGACCACATAAATATTCTGTAAGTTAACGACGTTACGTACTTCTTTATGTCAATCGTCATCTCGGTATAAATTGGCAGATGCGCACGCGCCACACGCTTTCGGCAATTTGAGTGCACGCGTGAGTACCTTATTTTTATCTATTATACCATCTAGCATTTTCTTAATCTATTTTCTTATGTACTTTCCGCAATAATAATGTAGTTAATAATTTTAATATTTAGTCCGAATAGTTTGTAAATTCTTAATTGATTTTTTTAATTATTGTCCCGTGTAACTGTTTTACAATTGGCGTTTAAAATATAGACGATTAGGGGCACTTTTAAATATTATTCCTTTTAAATCCACCTTTAATTACGTTCCATAAATTTATATTAAATTTGGTGATTTATGTTTAACATATAAAGGTAGGTCAAACATCGTTGTATCGTGAATGTAGGTAGAAGTAAATTCACAGTTCAATTTTTTTATCTTCCGTTTTGAATAATAATAACGTTAAACCTTTCATAACCTAACTTTTATAAAATTTATATTATGTTCCAAATATGTTTAGAAGGTAAAAACATCTCATTTTGAAGGTATTTTTCTTATTTTACAGTGACTCAGTTTCTGAGCCTACGAGGCTCTGCCGCCGGGCTGTGAGTATTTTTTTTTAACATCTAAACTTTTATATAAGTACACTAATGGTACGTGCATCAGCTTATTCTGAATAAAAGTATAGCCTTTGCTCCTTAACTAAGTAAACCTGCATTAAAGAAGTCCACGACATTCCTTTTTAATGCATCTTATAAAACAGATGAGTGTACCGAATGTATCAATTTAAATAGAAATTATAATAATTAAAAGATATTTAAAGTTATTAAACTTTGTATTTTGTTGTTGCAGTCCCGAGTGCCCGGCGGCAGAGTCCAGTGGTAGCACCGCCGGAGCCCGCAGCGCCACTGCCCCCGCTCCCCGCGAGCCGCACGCAGTCACAGCGCCCTGCTATGACCACTGTTGTTGAGGTAATCTTACAATCTCACAAATTCAACACATTTATAACACCAACCCACAAATTCATACATTTAAACAAACATCCATCCATCCGCAGAGGCATTCGCATTTATAATATTAATAAGATTGATTCACAAGTACAAAACAGTCACTGGTAATTACAGTATCATATTATTTTGGATGTATTAATATAACTATTGTTTTCTCTTTGCAGTGTACCAACAAATTACGATGGTTGGACGAAACAATAGTCCTATATCAAATTCAGCAACATCCTTTACTCAAGTTTATTATATAAGGTACGTTAAAAACAATTCAATATTCATTTTAAATAATGTACAGCTTGGTAGTAAAATTTTACTAGTGGTCGCCTATTGAAAGCTTCGAACGTCATTTTCAAAACAAGTCTTCTGATTAAAAATAACTTAGTTAAATTCACGTTCCATTTACAAATTTGCTTAATGGGTTTAAAAGATCTTGCTTCACCTAGTTTGTCATCTAAATTTGTATAGAATCTTTATATCTAAAACTTGTTTAGTGAATGCTGTGTACTGTCATCTATATGTTCCTTTGTTCGTATTGCTTGTGTTTTTAATATGCTCGTGTTTGTTGAACATGCAATATTTCTACCTTTTTTACCTTTAACATTGGTAGAGCCCACTTTAACGTCTTCGCACGAATTGGCCTGGCTCGCCCGGTGAAATACCACGACCACATAAAAGACAGGCGTGAAGTGGAAGCAATTCCGCGTTTTGATGAGTGTGCGTCCCGAAGGCCTAATTTTAGTCCTTTTTCCCTTCCCAGCCTTTTTCTTATAGGGGAAAGGAAAGGGAAAAGTATGGGAAGTGGAAGTGGACTTTCCGGATGAGAGGATGCATGGGAAGGGAAAATATTTTCTTTCAGTGCGACCCTCCTCCGTCGATTAAAGGTAGGCAGCGCATATGCAATTTTATAGGTCTATGGGCAACAGTCGCTTCGCTATTTCAGAGATTTCAAGTAGCCTCTCGCTCGTTTGCCACCTTTTGATATATGAAAAAGCTTTTTAATATATTTTTTTTTGTTTCAGATTGAAATCCAAAAGGACATAGAGTTAAAATAGATAGTAGATTATGTTATACAAAACCATAAACTTTTCCATTACTTAGTTTAGAGTCTTATAGCGATAATAAATTAAAATCCATTATTTAGTGACGAGTACACTTGCCAAATAAGTTTTATGTTTTTGTTGCCAGTCAGTTATAGTACAGATGTTTTTTTTTAACATATTTTATTAGTTCTTCATATTTAGACATGAATATGTTAAGTTTTAAACTTATTACATTACGTTTTGAAATAAAAAAATGTTTTTTTTTATTTACACAGTCCTAATTTTATTGTAGACTAGCTGTCGCCCGCGACTACGTCTGCGCTGGATTACAAAAAAAGCATTATAGGGTTTTTCCGGTAATTATTCGAATTTTTCCTTTCAAACCTTCCCTAGACCTTCACGAACAAGACTAAGACAAGATAAAACCGTTGAGTCGTTCTCAAGTTTTAGCGAGACTAACGAACAGCAATTGATTTTTATATACATATAGATAGATTAGAATATATTTAACAACTCAAGTGATGAAGATTGCACAAAATGGCAAAACACGCGAAATATTTGGCAGTTTTGTTTATTGCTACTAATTTGATCATTGACAATTTCCTTTTGTCTCGAGTCAGTCATCAGACCAAGCTTTTTGTTACACTGTTCTACGATAATAAGTAACTGTAGCCTCGAGTTGAATAACCACAAATTTAGTGATTTCAGAATACTTTTCCAATAAATTGAAATTACTGATACGTAAGAAAAATTCTATAATTTAAAAAAAATTGCATGAAACTTTAAAAAATAACATTTTAATAAAAAAATTACACGTTGTGTTTATACAGAGGAAAGTTCTAAACGCCTCCCCAATGTCCCTCGCAGATATTTAAATGAGGATCATCTGTTACTTTGCGCTTTTCACGAGCGCCATCTTGCGACCGTTCCTCCAAACTCCCACCTATATTTTTCTATGAAAAACTTTCATAGCTTTAAAGGATAATAAATCTTTTAAAACCATTTTATTTTAACTAAAATTAAATAAAACAAATGTTTACAGCAAACTAAAACATACATATTGGAACGAAGATAACCCTGCGCCGGTGTACTGGCGCAACTAGCTAAACTAAACTAAACTAGCCTTACTAAATTTTAGACGTTTGTGTCCCTTCACTACTCATTATGACACGACTTTGTAATGAAAGCGCGCTATTCGCTCCAAAGGATTCTAATAAATAATATCTAAAAATATAAATATATTTTAAAGACTGAGTTCGCCATTATAGTATTTTAAATTTCAATATCTTTTGTAAGAAATACTACATACATTTTAGTTGTTAAAATTAAAAAGTTTATTCGCATCAATTTCTTTCATCGAATAACTTAATACATCTGTAAGCAATCTAAGTGAGATAACAAACGTACATTAGCATAGTAACGCCACTCGACAGGTACAAATGGCGGCCGAAGCCTCCCGCTTTCATAAATTGAAATGAGACGGTGAATTAAAAAATAAATCAAAAGAGGATTTTCCCGACGCGTCGCCGCCGCGAAATTGGAAAAAATCTAACGCGACGCTATAACGAAACTGTTTCCATTGCACTTTACTTACGTTAATAATAACATAAAAACTTAGACTGAATGTACCTCTGTAATATTTCGGGGGTTGAATAAGAATCGAACTTCATAAGTAATCAGTGGTCAAGTTACAAAATGTCTAACATGCACATAAAATTTTTCATACTTTAGAAAACCTTTAGACAAATGTAGAATTGTGAAAATTTCACTTTCTAATGCTAGATAATTTACGTAATTTTTAATACGACGATTCGTGTATCTGCTAACACATATTTACATCTTGTTTCTTAACTCATACTTATTATATTATTAGTAACTAACACAAAGATGACGTGTGATATTGGAAACAGTATTTCTGACAAGATAATAACAGTGTCTTGGTACATATTAAAACGTCTACGACGCTACACAGTGTGTAAAATAAAACCCATTTAAATAAACATGATCAAATTGAAAGAATTACCGCGTACGAGGCCTCTCCCTCAACAAAATAACATCGTATATTCTTTGCTCGTTTAAAAACATATACGCTTTGATAGATTAAAAAAAATAATCCCTATATTCTTTTATTATATTGATACATAGACCTACGACTTTTTATCTATGCGCATATCAAAATTAAGTAATTTCAATACATTTGTTTATCGAATCCAAAGGCTTTGTAATATACCGATATTGTTTTACAAATATCATCATCGGCTCACTATACATCCCCACTGAGGAGATCGGAGCATACACTAATTTAGGGTTGACTAGGCCTTAGTCAGCCACGCTGGTCCAGTGCGGGTAGATTGACTTCACACATATATTTGAATTTCTTTGCCGATATTTGCAGGTTGCATCACGATTTTCCTTCACCGTAAGATTGAAATGTAAATCGAAAATCGAAAAATATATTGGTACATACGGAATTTGAAATCAGGACCTGCAGATTGCAAGTGAAGTGCTTAACCCCTAAGCCACGACGCTTTTACAAATATGTTAAATGCATAATATTATTAGTTGGACTAATCATTAGAAAATGTAGTACTCTAGAGGAAATCCCTGACTCCTGGAAAGAACAAACGGTGAAGAAATTTTGCGGTTGCTATAAATATTGGTATAGGTTAGTTAACAATTACTTTGTCTTAATTAAATTAAACACACCCACAACATAAAACTAACGCAAACAATATTACTTGCTTTCAAAGCAAAAGATAAAAGTTTCCGCAAAAACTCGAGCAATTCCATTAAGTTATATCTAATTAAAACGGGAATAAATCGAAACGATAAGGACACACTCGACCTAATTTCTAGACTACTAAACTCCGCCCAGTCATAAGCCACGCCTACACTAACGCCACGCCCACACAGCCTGCTCCATGTTTGTGGACTTACAACTTTGAATAAGTTTCAGAGACTGTGAATTATTTCGACGTTCTCCACGCTAATGGACTTTCTTTGTTGGATGCACTGAGTGCACTTAGTACATCCGCGTTCCACGATGCAATATATTTAAATCCAGCATTTAAATATTTAATCCAACTCTGTAGTAAAATAGTCAAATGATGAGAATATTTAAATGTAAAATCCCAAGGTGATTTTATTCAGGTTTGGTCCTTCGGTGTCTGTTTATTTTATGTCTCAGTTTTATATTTTTTCATCATCATTTGGAATACAATATTCCTATCTTAGCCAGCATCAATCCTCTCAAAAATACTGCCGTGATAATGCCTGTTTCTAATCGCTTCATTTTCATGATTTTTATTAATCCAAAAAAATAAAACTGTTGAAATAAACAACATTAATTTCTAAGTATTTAAAATGCACTTTATCGCTTTTTTCATCCTTTAATCATGTTGTTTGTACTTACCTTGGTTTATAACCTAGTTTCTTGAATTTAATTTATTTTATTTGTAACTAAATAATGGTTTTAAGCTGTATTGTGTAGCTATTGAAATAAATCTCTCTTTTGAAGAAATCTGCTCATCATTTCATATAAAGAAGTGCGCTAAGTAATCATGAATGACTTGGTAGCGATATGTCAAATAATTCCTATAGAAAGAAATCTAGCAATAGACAGCTCTAGAGTGTCAACAATAATGAATGTGTTTATGATCCCTGCCATATCCAAGGCAGTATTAGAAATGTTAGAACAGTTCACAAAAGTAAATGGTAGTCAATATCGGTCGCAAATTGACCCTTAAATGAGCTTCCTAAATCGCAATAAGACGCAATTCAACAGCTACGCTACACAAGTTAAATCCCTAAAGAATACAGCCCTCTATTGCCAGGTTCATCCTCAAAGCGATATCAAAAAAATACATCCGAACGGCCTCGGAACGCTTTATTAAGAATAAATTTACGACGAACAACCGCACAATTTATAAACAGAAGCGAAAAACAGACTATACTTATGTATCGAAACTGTATTAAGGAGGTGAAATAGAGTTTAATAGAGCGTAAGTTTGTGTCAGGTCAAAAAATAAGTAGGCCAATGGTAAATTAACTCTTCAATCATATTTTAACTGATTACGGTTAAACTAGAGTTACAAATTCCTATCTACTTATATAGTGTAAGGAAGAAATTTCGACACTGCCGGTGTATCGTCGCAACACTACCCTTATTAAAATATCAACGCTTATGTCCACTCACTAATCAATCTGACAATTGACTTGATAATAAAAGACCTGAATCTAAACGATTATAACAAATAATGTCTAAAAATAGTTATATTACTTTAACACCTTTGTTTATCGTTATTGCAGAATTTAACCCACTTTCTTTGTATGTAGGATCGTAACAATTTGAATTGGCTTATATCGATCAGATTAAATAAAGAAAGGTATAAAAGGCTCTTAAGAAGCTGCTAGTTTATTTAGATAATGCCAAATAGAATTCACTTGAAATCTTTGATATTAATAAAGTCGTATACTTTACGTTTATCGCTTTTGTCTTGGACCGAACGAATAGTGCGCGGCGCCTACCGCCTATCTTCAGCGTAATGCATTTATGCAACAGCGGCCCGGGCCGGTCGATGCTGCGCGTAATTTTCAACAAATATTCCGATAGCTTTTTATTTCTTGTTGAAGATGCGTTCGCTTTTAGTGAAATCTAACTCATCGATCGATCTCGACTTGTTTTGCTGGTAATTTCGTTCGACAAATATGTTGTCAGAAATGTTATTGTAAGAAATTCGAATCATTATACTGACGATAAATACGATTACGCTTTTATTTTTTCTGTTAATAAATATAAAACTAATAATGTAGAAATAAACAAATACTTCAATTAAAAATACATGAATTTATTATATTCCCTATATTTCTTTACTACACAGGGCTATTATTAATGCAAGGATGAAAAGCTTTGTGGAGATAAAATACGTCAATAGCGATCGTCTAAGCTCAAAGTATGTTCCGCAATTTTCCGTGAATACTGCAAAGTTATCGATTTTTTTGTAAAAAATAAATCTCTTACGCTATTTATACCTCCCATTCCCTCAGGCATGGTAAAGAGGGGGGCGCCATAGACAACTTGTCTAGGTTTTGTAAACAATTATGTATTTCTCACAATATTTTCCTTTCCTTTGACTTCGTCTCGAACAAATACAGCTCAGAGACTACACAGCAATATTAAGACTTCAATAGAATCCTTGTGTTTACACTGGCCCTTAATTATCATATCAAAACAACCAATTTTCTTTCCTTTCTTTGTTCTAAAAGTTTTATTTTGTCGACAATAGAACTAAATAAACTTGTAGGAGGTAGGAAGAGGGGGTGAAGGGGGGTCTAAGTTAAACAAGACGCTTTTAACAAGTTGAGCAGCAGAGCGGATTTACTCGCGACATTTGAATAAGACGTCGAAATTTGAATAAGACTTTTTTCATCGGGCCCGGGGTTGCTTGAAAATGCTTAATGTTGCCAACTTTAAAAATGTCACTATATTTTTGTAGAACAAGTATCTTAATCTTTATTGAAACAACAAATCATTTGCCGATTAATGCAAATAGTACAATTATTAGAGATATTAAAGTGCCGGAATGTCAAAAATATTATAAGCAAAACTATTGCATCTTGAACATTAAACCGTTTTTACTGCTAGACCACCTGTACGAAACCATACTTCTATCCCTCTTATTTTACTTGCAAATGAAAGAGTCGACAATATTATTTGTATAGGTTTTCTGGAGGTAAACAAACACACAATGTTTTACGTTAACAAAAGACTGAGGCTATGTCATTTGGGACACCTATTGTACAAGCAAGCTTCCATTACTATAATCAACTACGTGAAAACACAGAATGATACCGCATACAAACACTTTCAATTAAATAAACAAGAATGTAACATTGTTACATACTTTTTCAAGTCCAAAGAATTTTTTTTTATATCATAAGGTGGCAAACGAGCGAGCGGCCATATGAAATCGCTGAAATAGCGAAGTGACCGTTGCCCATAGATATACGCAATTGCATATGCGTTGCCTACCTAATCGACGGAGGAGAGGATGCACAGAAAGAAAATATTTTCCTTTTCCATGCATCCTCTCATCCGGAAAGTCCACTTCCACTTCTCATCCTTTCCACCACTGTTGAAAACCACTGTTACCACTGTTATTTTTAAATCCAAGTCTAAATAAAATTCACATTTCTTTCAATTGAGTCAAACCTTTTGGAGACCACTGCCTTATCTCAATGAGATTTTTATTATTTGCCTCCTATTATGTATTTCGTCATCATTAGCTCACTATACATCCCCACTGAAGGACGTCGAAACCTACCCTAAATTAGGGGTGACTAGGCCATAGTCAACCAAGCTGGCCCACTGCGGGTCATGTATTTACTTTACCAAATAAGCAACTAAGACACTGTATATCCATAGATGTCATTGAAAAAAAGCCAGATTTTCCAAAATTGAAAACTTCAGCGTACCTCAATGGATAACGAGCGATCTTTTATAAATAAAAACGCATTTAAGAAAATAAATTGTTGCCGCAACGATTTGAAAAAAGATCTGGAACTTGATTACTAAACCCGCAACCACGATAAAAGGATAATGATATGACAGTATTTTCTCGAATAAACATCATAATAATGTGTTCAATCGGAAATTTATTGCTTATATTGTATCATAGATAATGCGGGCTGTGACGGTGGCGCGCGCCATACAACCCCATACAACTCCAAGTGCCGCGTCACCTCTATAAGCGATTACGTTTGCTTCAATACATTACTTGGAAGTTAGAAAAATTGGATACGACAATTTTCGCTATACTTAAAGCCACGCTTAAAACTTTTTGTCTTCGAATCCACAGAAGATTTTAATACCTTTGAGTACAAGTTTATTCGCAAGCTTCACAATTCTAGAATCTTCTAATACATCTCTCATGTTCTGTACAAGTCGCTTTATACTGTTGCAAAGAAGCCCTTTACATTAGGGACGTACATACAGTGTGTTTAGTGACTATAAGCTAACCACTTTCGATGTACAAAGAAGATTTTTGAATCTAGCAATCCTGAAAGTAGTATTAAAATTATTCTTTCTAAATCGTACATTTTTTTCTAATATCCGTGTAGCAAGCAAAAAAAACTGTCAAATCACGTCGATTAGTGGTCGATGATCTAAAAAGCTATTGTCGTGTGACCACAAAGCAAACGAGCAACAACCGCTGCCGCCCCGCGACATTGTCCGCAAACTCCACCGACAAAACCCCCACACTATTTAAACGATATCTGTTACGATTTAACCCCAGTTAAATATGGAAATTCGGAAGAAAATCTTCTTTACCCCAACTCAAAAAAAAAAGAAGTTCTTAAAAAATCTAGTTCAAACTCCAAAACCATTTCACACGTAAATTACGTTTAGATAATGGAAATCCAAGTGGAACCTTTAGATTTGTCAATGAAAAGTAATAAAAATAAATTATTAAATCTTGTAGAATCAAAGTTCCTGGCTGGTTTGAATAACCATTTGGTAAATCTTTACGAAAGATCGAACTCCGTTAGTGATAGCCTTCCACGGAAGAATACAAATGTTAAGAATGTGTTACCTTGTCAAGTCTGTTTGAAGACATTTGATAGACCTTCCTTGCTGAAGAGACATATGCGGACACATACCGGTAAGTCAGGCGACAGATATTAAAAAGGAAATCGGAAAAGTATGGCATCTGTCAAACCTACCATAAGCCTCTCTGTCATTGTCCCCCCGATTACATGGATTCTTTCGCGTTTCATTGACAGATGCTAAAGTTAATTAAAAAAAGTTAATTGCTGAAATCATCATCAAGTACGGAGAACCATAGACAATTATGCATGTTTCTGAGTGTTCTGTGTGTGTTTCTACATTTCTTACTTCGACTCTGTATTCATTGAGCCAAGATAATAAGGTATATTGAATACTTTGATACTTTCATAAAAAGATGTTATCCACAACTAAAACTGGAATAACTTTAGTTACTCTGTACGCAAAGTAAACTCATCAACAAAAGTGCCTAGTAGATTTACCAGGCGATTGAGTTGGCACTTCATCGGCCAGAACAGTGTTTTTGTTCGGGACGTCCCAAAACAAATGCCGGTTAGTGTATTTTATGAAGTCACTACTGGTGAAATAACTAGAAGCTTTCGTTATAGGTGAGAAACCACACGTGTGCGCTGTCTGTAGCAAAGGATTCAGCACATCCAGCTCTCTCAACACCCACAGGAGGATACACACGGGTAAGAGGACCAATTGGATCCAGCATTACAATATTTTTATGTAGTGATAGGTTATACGGCGTTTAATGGACGGATCAAAAGCTTGGAAAAGGCAGACGGCTTCAATACCTATCGTTAAAAAAAATAACTTTAGGTCTATGGAATATCTCGGAGTATATCTTGTCTTCTAAGAAGCTTTGACTCGTTTGTTAATAATTGCCTGTATTTAGTGCTAAAAAAAAAGACTTATAAAAGTTCTCTTTAACTTTTATAAGTCTTTTTTACAACAAAAACATCGTATATTTTCTTTCATATGTTCGTAGGCGAGAAACCCCACAAATGTCCAGAGTGCGGTAAATGTTTCACAGCCAGTTCAAACCTTTACTACCACCGAATGACACATACTAAAGTAAGTTCTGTTGCTTTTTAAACTTTTCAAATTCGGAGAGATGATATCCAGTGATAAAAGAAAGGCGCATGACGCACTTGGGCGGAAGCTTGGCCTTAGAGTTGGAATAACTTTAAGCCAAGCAAAACAAAACCGACATACTTTGCCAGCTAAATTTTACTCAAGAGAACTTTTACCTTATTTAATAATTTAATAAAAATCTCTCAAACAAAAATCTTTGCACAATAGTGTAGACTTTTTAAGTTTCGTTTTTTTTTGTCCCGTTTTACGCAATTGTTTGACTCTTACCATTGGATTCTGAACGAAAAATCTCTGTATAAAGTATCTTTAACAAAACATAGATAATAATATGTTTTAAACCTATTTTGACCTATTGCGGTTTTTACCACGAATTTTTTCCTTCTAGAATAAACCACACAAATGCCCATGGTGTCCCCGCTCGTTCCCTACGCCGGGTGAACTGCGAGCACACGTCGCGACACACACCGCTAAACGTGTCTTGGAACAAGATGGCGGACAAATATTTGACGTTGGCGGGAATTGGCCATTTTGTATGGCAGATTTACGTAAAAGTATTACTTTTCGGTATTCATAATTTGATATTTTATTTGAAGTTTTTATATTTGTATTCAAATTATTTGGATTTTATGTTATTTATTTCTCTGTTACGTGAAATTTGAGATATTTAAATAGTAATTTAAATGTATATAATTTTATGTACTAAAAAATGTATTTTTGTTGATTTGTTGTAAAAGTACAGTTATATAAATTAGTGTAAGTACTTGGATATGTAATATTTTCTTTTTTTTTAGTTTAGTCAAACTTATTCTTAAAGTAAATGTAAAAATAAAAACACATAAATAAAATCACAATGATATTTATATTACATTGTCAAGATTATCTTCTTTATTCTTCTTTACATCTACTTCTGACTCATCTTCATTTTTCCTCTTTTCACCTCTATTATCATTACTTTCAATGTTTTCATTATATTGTGATGAATTATTTTTATCCTGTTTATCGTCACTTTCACCATCTTCTTTTTTCTCTTCTGTGTCATAGTTATCTTCTGTCTTACTCTTGAAGTAGTTATTCTGTTGAGCTTGATTGTCATTGGAGGTGTCAACTTTGAGTAATTCTCTTAATGCCATAGTGGCATACGAACTCACAGGCAATGTTATAGTCAACAAGCATGCCTTGAATTTACCATCTGAAAATAGTATATGTAAATAATATAAGTAAATATTAAAAATTAACATTATTTATAAAATTTAAAAAATAACGACTTCTACTCATTTTATAATACCTAATTTACATCGATCCAGTCAGGCGAACGAATCCAGCGTTAGAAACTGGAAAACTGTAAACACACTCATACACTGTGCATTACTGTGTAGGTGCAATTCATCTCTGGATTTTATCTCTGTACTGGAATATTGTAAACTGAGAATAAGTCTTATCTTAGTACTATTATAAATGCGATTGTTTGGATGGATGGATGTTAAAAGGTACCTCCAGAACAGCTGCATGCATGTTGATGAAATTTGGTATAGATATAGAACATAGTCTATAAGAACACATAAAAATTTGGCTGACCTTGAACAATGCCAGTGTCGGTGTACTGGTGAAGTTCCTGCAGGTCCGACAGCTGCAGGTCACAGAAGGGCTCGTTGTACCTGACGGTGCACCACTCCAGCTCTTCAGGCCGCACTGCTATGTGACGGTAAGCCCCTGACAGGGAATATGCCCTGACAATTCACAAAATACGGTTAACTTAAATACAGTTAGTATAAATTTTTCTATCGATTTAATCTTACTAATATTACTGTAAGTTTAGATGGACGGAGGGACGGATGGATGGATGGATGGATAGATAGATAGATGGATGGATTGATGGATGAAATTTGGCACACATCTAGAATACAGTCTGGAAGAGCATAGAGGCTACTTATTAAGGATTTTTTAACGTTGCGAGGACGGAAGGCAGTAACTAGTCTGATCATAAAATAATAAAATGTAAAATCTTACTTGTTTTTATGTGTCATTTCCAACTTTAAATTATCCTTTTCGACTAGTTCTTTGTAATATTCCTTCATGTTTGGAGGATATTCCACATTGTGTCCGGGAATTGGCATCACTATATCAAATATACTGTAGCGACCACTCGCTATGTCTTCTTCATTAAGAATTTTAACAGGAACCTTTGGTTTTGGTGCATTCTTCTCTTGTTCTTTACTTTTATCCTTACATTCCTTGTTTTCTGTATCTTGTACAGAATTGTCTCCCGTATCTTGTACAGAATTGTTTTCTGTGTCTTGTACAGAATAGTCGCTCTCGTCTGTTGTGTCCTTTTCGTCGTCTGACTCATCATCGTCTTCTACTTCTGTCAAAATTTGTAAAATTAATAACCAAAAAAGATGTTTTTAATGTTATTTAAATAGTTGTTTAGTTACGTTAGGACACTAAGAGTTGCTTGACCAGTTTCTAGTGCAATTCCTCACTAAAATACACTAAATAATTCTCATATTGGCAATTTCAAGACTAAATATGGTAGTCAGTGTAGATTTTTTACAGCAAATCTACCCTAAAGGCTTCCCTTAGTAACCGTTTAACAGCGGTAGTCCACATTAACATTTTCGCACTAATTGTCCCGGCTCGCCCGGTGAAATACCACGACCACACAGAAGACAGGCGTAAAGTGGAAGCTATTCCGCGTTTCGTCTGATGAGTGTGCGTCCCGGAGGCCTAACTTAGTCCTCTTTCACCCTTTTTTCTTATAAGGAAAGAATGGGAAGTGGAATTGAACTTTCCGGATATGAGGTTGCATGGGAAGGAAGAATATTTTCTTTCTGTGCATCCTCTCCTCTGTCGATTAAAGGTAGGCAACGTATATGCAATTGCATATGTCTATGGGCAATGGTCACTTTGCTATTTTAGTGATATCAGGTGGCTGCTCGTTTGCCGCCTTATGATATAAAAAAGGCGGTGTATACGTACCGTTGTGCTGCAGGTTGTGCAGGGGCACGATGTCTCCGACAACAGGCTGGTGTCCGAGCAGATGCAGACGACGCGACACGCAGCGGTTCCACACCAGAGATTGATATGAGTGGAGATACATCATACGCTGGTTACGCGGCAACTGTGTTAATGTATGCCATTTTAATAAATTGATTTAAAAAAAGGTTTTTTTTTTTAAGATTTCCCTCTCCTTCCTTCTCCCCTTCAAGTTTAACCCATTTCAGTTGTTTTTTTAATTAAATAAACAGGAATAAGATATTCCCTTATTCCTATCCCTCATAAAAACGACTTTACACTCTCATGTTTTTTCAGGGTTCTGTATGTATACTATCCTCAGTTTTACATTTAAGAGCAGTTTTAACAATATGATTGACGGTGGTGAATTTTATCAGTAACATATCTATTGCCTGAATTAAAAAAGATAACGAAATTAAAAAATATATATGTAACCTATAGCAACTGGGGATGGTGCAGATTCCCAATAGTGAAAGAATTTGTTAAATCGGTTCAGTAATTTCGAAGCCTTTTCAGTGCAAACAATCAAATCTTTCCTCTTTATAATATAGAAAACCAATGTGTTGAATAATGTCCAAAATTAATAGAGCTCTTACATCTAGGTATATGTACGTGTTGGTGGTTCAACTGACCTGGTCGAGCGCTCCGATGAGATCTCGAGGGTTGTTATTGATTGCGCGTTCTAGCCGCGCCTCACCCGCGGCTGCGCGCGCCATACTACGCGAACTCGCTCTGTCTTGTAGTATAGAGTTTACTGCCTAACAAACAAATATAAACATATATATATATACATGATTATTAAGAAATACTAACTAAAATTGTTGAGAAAACGCTAATCTTTATTAATTTGAAGGGAGATAAAATATAATTTTGAAAGAGAAGTTTTTTTTTTTAAATTAAAATATTTACGGTATCATAAGATGTTTAGATATGTTTGTTAAATAAATATCAATAGATCAATATACAAATTTGTTTTTTTTTGTTTCATACTTTTATGGCCAAAAATGAATTATTTTATTACTAGCTGTCGCACGCGACTACATCCGCGTGAAATACAGAAAAAACTTAAAAATTAGCTTATAGACCTTCAAACAAACAAACATCGATCTATCTAAACATTCGCATTTATAATATTAGTAGGATTTACAAAACATTTTAAAGGTTCTATGTAATATGACACATTTATATTATTTTACATAGACAGCATATTAAAATATAAAATGAATATTTTTAAAGTTCATAACACAGAGTATTTATGCTTTTTAATATTGCATACTGACCTCTCTGAAGTTACTCTGCAGCAGTTTCCGTCCAATCTCATATGTAGGCATGTCGACTCGTGTGCCGAAGCGCTGCAGACCGAAGTAGTTGATGAAGCCGTGCTTGCGCAGTCTCTCACACGCTTCATCTATCACCTCGTCTGATGCTGTCACGTTCCGCAACGCTATACGGAACCTGAACGATAGTAGAAAGTACAGTAGTTATTAGGGCCCACACACACAGGACTGACCACAGATTAGATTTATTACCGTAAATAAAATAAGACTTTATACAATTGACACAAGATTTAATTAGGTTTAATTTTACTTATAAAGATGTGATGTGGTCTATGTGAAGAGACCCTTAATTGGAACAGTTAAATCCATGTGCATTGAATAACACATAGGGACATCGGTTTGTTTCCGTTATTTCCGAAAAGAGTAGTTTTGCAATAAATGTTAATTTATAGAACAAAATCTATTACCACGAATTAAAGGAAGCTTAGCAGGTTTTTTAAAATTTACTTTGTTGTATTATCATTTAAAAAAAGTGAAATTCACTATTTTTAGGGTCCTTTTCCTCTAAAAAAAACAAACCCATATAGGATCATTTGTTAAATGCAAAATATATTATAAATAAATACATACCTGTTACCCTTGAGCATGCCGAGTCTTAAGTTATAGTTTTTGAAGGTAAAGTTTCCGACGTACAAATCGCGTAAATCTTTAGTTGCCGCTACTATCTTCCTCGGGTCCACTTTGCGGAGACTAAACCATTGCGTTGTCTTAGCACGACGATCCTTTGTACCAGCGTAGCCTAGCATTGATGGTTTTATGCTGGAAATGTTATTATGTACTTTGAACACAGGTTTGCAAAATAAAATCTGAATGATTCTTAACACAGTCAAATTTATCTTGCTAATATTATAAATGCGAATGTTCAGATGGATGGATGGATGTTTGTTTGAAGGTATCTCCAGGACAATAGATATTGATAAAATTTGGCACAGATGTAGCACATAGTCTGGAAGAACACATAGGTTACTCTTTTTTATTAATTCCGGGCAGAGGGAGTCACGGGCTACAACTAGTCTTGTATAAAAATGTTGTAAAAGCATTGTATGGGAATTCACACCTACTTCAATTTCAATCTCTCAGCAATCCTTATAGCAGCTTCCATTGTGTCGCAGTTCTCTTTGTGTAGAACAAAGTGAACATATTCCCCTGGCCATACCCATTTCACTCTGTTGTCTCTACGCACTGAAAAAAAAAATACCAGTAACTATAGGATATACTTAGTAATCGTAAGCAATAAGTGCTAAGGAGTTTATATATTATCAGTTGTCATAATGTGAAACTTATTTTAAGTTATTGTATCTAATTTTAGTGGAAACTCACCTCCTTTTTTAAATTTTTCAAATCTTACAATCTTTTTATCATCAATAGTAACGGTACTACTAACTAGGCTGGGTCCAAATGCCTTCTTCACTGAATCATGTATTTTTGTCCGTTCCTCTTTGGACATACCCGTCACATCAACCTGAAATAATATATAATAGACATTTATATCCATCTTTCTATTTTTCTAGTAATCATAGGTTTCCGTTGCCAAAAAAACTCACTTCAACATTCTTATCTGTTGGTGGATTAACAATGAGACTGTTAATACGATCCCAAGTCTCCAAAGGCAATATCTCTAGGTTATATTTAGACAGCAACAAGTCCTCATCCTCATCAATGATCTCCTCCGTAGGTGGCTCCGGTGGTGACATATCTGTGAGCTTTGCTATCTCTCCACTCTCATTTATCTCAGATACTTGAAAGTCTGAATATCTGCAATTTTAATCTTACTAATATTATAAATGCAAATGTTTAGATGGATAGATGCATGGATGGATGTTCGTTTGAAAGTATCTCCAGAATGGCTGGATAGATCTTTCTGAAATTTGGCATAGATAGTCTGGAAGATTTCAAGTTTTTTTTAAAATGTAGATAAATAAAATAAGTCACTTCCTAATATAGAATTTGCCTTGTTTGATAAATATTAAATGGATTGGTGCGATGAGTATGAAACTAATGGTAGTGGTCCAAACTATCAATCACATCATGTTATACTTAAAATTGAAATAAAAATCCTAAAAAACGTATGTGTAAAGAGATGAATACCTTACCTACATTTAATAATTCCATTGAAGCCTTTATGATCACTCATGTATTCTGTCACACCAATCTCTTCCTCTGAGAGCCTCTTACCTGGGGTTTCTCTGGAAGGTTTTTTATGCGTGCCAAAGTTGCCTCTTCCCCCACGGAAGCCTCGATTTTGATTTCCATAAGGCGTTTGTTGATCACGAAAATTTTCATTTCTCGGCCAAGAGCCTCTCCCTCCCCTTCCCCGACCCCTTCCCCTATATCCTCCCCATCCTTTACGGTCTCTATTATTTACATTCCAGTTGTTATTCATATTGCCACAAACACAATTCGAAGTTAACCTCAAATCAAAATAACCGGTGAAGAAATACTATTTTGCAATAAAAGCTGTCGTAGTTATTGTTTTAATAAAAAATGCTTCTTATCTTAAATTAAATATGCTTATAGAATAATCTTTAATATAGAGCTTTTTACATTTTACAACTAAATTAAAAAATAAAACAGTGTGACAAGCAAACACAATGGATGTGCAAAACACAGTGACAATGACAGATAACAGCAACTATGGTTGCCAGATAGAGTCGAATTTCTCTTTATATTTTTTATATTAGAAAATATATAACTTGTAAGTTTGTTTGATAAAATACCAACATTTATAACTATTTTGAAGTTGTATTGTATTGGCTCAGGCCTCGGGCCTAAAAAATGGCTAATATTGGCTTTGTCGCATGCTCTGACATGCTTATGGCCTTAGGCAACACTAAACATATGTGTGCCTAGGGGCCACCAGGTTCTGAGTGTATAGCACTTTAATCGACCTTATAAAAACATACAATCCCTTAAACATTCGTTTTATGCTTTTAATAATTTTTTTATTTTGACAAACACTCAAGTAAACCTGAGAGTCTCAGGGACTGTTATACCCTAAATAACTAAAAGTAGTTCTACAAAGATTAAAATAAAAGTAAACTGTAAATTATTTCAAAAATTATATTTTATTAAACACTCAACTCTTATCGCTTTAACACTGAATCTTTGAACTACCAAAACACATGTATAATATAAAAAATATAGATTTGTTATCCTTTTATTCTTTTCCTTCCTTAAACAGAGATGAAAATATTTTTTAGAGATGTTCCAGTTAAGGGTACCCAAGATATTGCAAACTGTTAAATATTTTTAAAAGGGTAACATATGCAGAAGAACCTTAGTTGGTGTACAAAAATAGAATTTCAAGCAATAAGTACTCTTATTAGGAATGGCTAATATAGAAATATTTTCATTATAATGTCTTAATTAAGTCACACGAAAGTTTAAACAAATTAATTTAAATCAGAATCTTTGTACCAAAATTATTTTCTTAAATAACTATTTAAATCTCAAACAACTTTAAATACAGTTCTATAATAAAAGGCACTTTTGTGATCTTTAGTGACAAAAGATAGTCAAAAGTTCTTTTATTTTTTGAAAACCTAAAATATAATATTGTAGCCCTTGAATGGTAGGAATCCAATCCGAGTAAAGAAAGATATTTTAATAAATTATTAAACATAGTGTTCAGGGTTTTTGCCTATACTGCATTTTCCATCATATTTTTTACCAAATAACCTTTTATTTTTTTTTAAATATTTCATGATTTCAAAACATATTTCAAAAAACTTCGTGGAATTGGCATTTAAAAATAATTTAAACAATACTTAAAATATCAAAGTAATATCAATTTAAATTCCGATCACATATAAACACATGTGATAAATAAGAATTACATGCCTTAAGAGATATAACACTTTTATCACATTGGTTGCTTTTATGGAATTAAAAGAAAACTGTAAATTACTTATTTTCAATACTCCTGTGAAGGGCCCGATGATGATTTTGATTTGTTAGCAGTTTTCTTCGGTAGCAACTGTTGATGGATACTTGGTAAGACTCCTCCTTGAGATATTGTGACTCCCTCCAACATTTTGTTTAACTCATCATCATTCTTCACTGCCAAGAGGATGTGACGCGGTAAAATTCTAGAAAACAATAATATGAAAATATTATAATCCACATTCATGGAACTCCTTTATGTTATATAATGTTAACAAAATGAATACTAGTTTGATTACTCTACTTACAGAACAAACTTTAGAATTGCTTGTCCTAGCAATAAGTGCAATTAATTTGTTTATTAGACTAGTTCTGTACTGTAAATAATTTTACCTTGATTTGCCATTATCACTTGCCGCTTTTCCAGCTAATTCCAATATTTCAGCTGCTAAATATTCCAATGCTGCTGATAAATAGACTGCCGACCCACACCCAATCCGTTTTGCATAATTTCCCTTACGAAGAATTCTGTGTATTCGTCCTACTGGAAAGTTAACACCAGCACGAGCGCTTCGTGATTTTGATTTAGCGCGCTTTTTGGCATCTAAGACAACAGAAATATTTATTGATAATTTAACTAATTCACCATAATTCTTGATTACATATTTAGTTTAAAAGGAGAATGCAACAATGCAATAATTTGTAAATTATGAAAAGAAACACAACACTCCAGTTTAGTTATAATTTAATTTGTTTATAATTGGAGAAAAAATACTAAAAAATACTAAAAATCGTTAAAAAGAATTTGCATTAGTACCACAATTTACTTACGTTCGGCACTACGACCAGACATTTTGATTCTGTTTCAATCAATTTTATATAGATATTGTTTAAAGTTTGTATATTTTCTACAATTAGTTCTTAAAAGCGTAAAAACAATGCGACGTAATTTTCTTGAAAATCGTTTGACTTTGATCTAACGTTAGCTTTGACTTTGACATCAAAAAGGGCGGGAACAGCAATCCAATTTTTTTTTTTTTTAAGTTAGAGTTACAAACTTTTTGCCACTCTGAAAGTAAACATTTTATAGGAGTGCACCTGGTTTATGCAAATTATAACTTGAAGTCATAAAAATGATACAATCTTGCAAAATTTACTAGAATCAACTAATAATAAATTGTACGTAAATTATAGTATCATGTTAGGGTTTATAATTAATTTTACAATTAATGAAATTTTCGTACTTTAAAATTTCTTTTCATCTGTCTTAATCAACTTTACTAGTTACATATTATGGTCACCGCATATGGTTCATTATTTCTTGGCAATAAAACAACAGAAACCAGTCTTGTAAATTACATGTAATTTTAAATACTGTAAACAAGAGATCCGATAATTAATTTTCATTTTATAGTACAATGTATGAAATTTAACAGACTGTCTAAATTTACAACTAACAGTTATAAAAGATTCGGTCTAACATCAACTTTTCCATATGAACAATTTAAACAGAAAAGTAATCAAGTTGTACAAACTAGATCTACTTAAATGTCTAAAACTAAAGTATTAAACGGCAAAGGAACATTAAACATAGCATAAAAGGCATCATAGCGAATACAAAACCGGTAAAATCTAAAACTTAAAAAATACTATTCATTAAAAAATACCATGAGTTTAAAAATAAAAGGATAACCTCAAAAAATATACACTATTTAAAATATAAATGCAATACTAACGGAATAATTGTTTAACAAATGTTGTAAATAACTTAAAAACTCTTATACATCAATAAAATAGTTCAGAATTGTTCCATTTTTATTCGAGGTTTGCTATTTAAAGTAGTCTATTACATATTCTTTTAATATGTGGCTCTAGCAAATATTTTTAATAAGAACAAAGATTGCACAAAGAGTATTAACATAAAGAAATATAAAAGACTCGGGTTTTATTCAACATTATAAAAATTTTATAACACTATCACTTTATAGGTTACATATATTAAGATAAAACTTTTTTCATGATTAGTTACAATATACATAGACAAGATCCACAATCTTTTTGTAAAAATGTTAAAAATTCAATAAATCATTTTCTTTGTTGAACGAGAAATATTATTCAGACCAATAAGATTCGTATGTTACATTATTTATGCATCATTTAAAAAGTAAAAATTTATACAGTTCATGCCTCTTTCCCTTCATAATTCTATCAAATCATGGACCATGGGACTGAATCTGGATTTCAAACATCCAATAAATGTCTGGCTTGTCTATGTTTATAAGAATAATAAAATTAAAATGAGTATGAGGTTTATAGCATCTCTCATGGCAGTGTTGAGACAATTTGCTGAGGTGACATCGGAGTAAAAATCTAAATTAAAAACGTTACAAACACGATTATTGAACAGTTGCTCATTCCAGTAATGTGGCTGCATTCTTTGTTATGTTTTAATACTCATTCATAGTAATAATAGTTTTGATTTTTAGTTAATAAATTATATTTTATTGACAGTAAAATTATGTTTAAAAAAGAAAAAAAAAACTGGAGACTACAATAAATAAAATAAATAGCACCTTTTTGTAGAATGCAGCCATTGTACACAAAGCTCTTAAAATACTAAACATTTTGTTACTAATTTAGAATTTTATATGAGCAATGAACATATCCGTTTTATATTTGAATTAAAATTGGCAACAATGAAAAATATAGCAATATACAAAAGTTATCAATACTACATTTTTCAACATATGCAAAAGAGAGGAGATCTGACCCGATATCAGGTCACAGACTCTCTATAAAACATTAGGAAAAAATACACAACCATATATAATATATTCATCCACACTACACACAAATTCATCAATTTATTTTGCATAAAAAACACACTTTAAATTTTAAACATCGTGAAATAAAACACAATTAGAGTGATGCCACACGGGAGTTACGCCAACAGAATTGCAACACAATAGTCCAGTATTTTGTTGCATCATTTATAGGTGTTTAATTTTCATATGTAAGACATACAGACAACTCCGTCACCGCAACCCACGTGTGGCATTGCTCTTAATATGTCTTTCGCAAAGTTACAATCGAAAAGTTTTAACATGATTAACTTGGTCAATATTAGTTTATCTCTCCATCATCATTACCACCCGTGAGACTTGTCACTACAATACCAACATTCAAAAATAATTCTATTGTTTTAACTATGTCCAGATTAATTTGACTAGTCGTAATTATTCACTCTTTTACATTACACATTGCTTCACATTGATCACTTAAACCCTAGAGGACTACACATCATCTTTAATATTTCATCAGAATTAAATAATTACAGGCCCAGTTACATGCTATGTTGGATTATTATACATTTTGGATGTTTCTTGAAGTTGTATTTTGCAGATTACAGAGATTTTGTTTTAAATTTAATTTAGCTAAATTTGACTAAATATTATTTACGTCATAAATAAGTTCCATTTCATACTAAGATGTCAGTCTCTACTAGGTTAAGTGTTCAATGTATTCATACAATTACTAACATAAGCAAATACATACCGATCTGAAAACGGCCATACAAAACTCGTAAAAGCTTTAAAATTATGAGCTAAATGAGCTGAGAGCACTTGTTTTATTATCACATATTATCAGTCGAATGCAGAACTAATTTCTGCATTGGGTCTAGTATTATTTTAGAATTGTTATCTTCATCCATCTTTTTACTTAAACATTCCCCTGCCACATTTGTTTCTTTGTCCAATTCTAAATCGCTGGCTTTATTGTCGAACACAGGAAAGAAATCGTAATGCTTTCCATTACTCACTTGTTTGTTGGCTTTATCCGTTTTTGAACACTTTTGCTTTTTTAAATCGTCAGTATGTTTTATTATATTACGTTTTGATTCATTCCAACCTTCAGTCTTCCCGAGACCTGGGTTCCAATCTTTTCTGAATGAGCTTGAAGGTTTAGTTGGCTCGGTAGTCGCAAACTTTTGTTGAATTTCATTGATTTGATTGTGGTTCTCTCTACTTGAAACTATTTGTCCGTAAACTGGTGTACAATATGTGGTATCAGAGTCAGTGTTGCCTGTTTTATTGTCTCTGTGTGATTGATTTTGATTTAGCTGACAGTTGTTCATTCCGGAGTCGAATTCTGACTTCTGTCCGGCGTTAAGCAAAATCTGTTTAGAGGATTTAACTGTGTTTTTCTTATCGTTTTGATGGTTTCTATTTGGTGATCCATTGTCATGCTGCCTATTATTTCTGGAATTTGATTTATCGTCTTCATTAATGTCATCACTGCCTATTCCGTCAATATCGTATACCTGGAATTTCATAATATTGTATCAGTTACCACTTAAAATGAAATGTAGTCTGTTTTACTCTTTTTAGCGGCACAATACCCTCTGCCAGCATCACTTTTTTTGAATTATGTTTTACTCGGCAACAGGTGATATATTCCAAGTTCTCAACACCTCTCGTAATTTGTGTTAACAACATAAGGTCAGTGAGATGGGATCTTTGTTGGTGGATGAATGCACACACTAGGGTTGGGCCCTATCCCACTCCCACATCTACACTGAAAATTGTATGATGTGTTTTGTATCATGCAAAAATTGTGGTCCGTCCTTAAATTAAATTAAATTTTATACCTTATACATAACATCTTGGTTCATTCCTTTCTCCCTTTCTCTTTTGTTCTGAACAGCGAGCCAAACATCTTTTAATTCTCCCGCAAGATCCCTGTCCCTCAATATCACAGGGTTCCTAGCAAGTATCAGTCCAGGATTCATAGCTTCCACAAAGTCGCAAAGAAGGCTGACCAAAGCTTCTCTGTCCTGTAATCATTAAGGTATGACATAAAATAAACTTTAAATGGAAATATAGGGAAAAGAAAAAAATTCCATTGATTTGATTGAGATTGTCCCTTAAAATATTGTTCTTGGTATTCAAATGCCACCCTGTGATTCATGGCTGTACCAGTCTATATTGTAGTGTAGTGTATATTTACTGCACAGTAAAATTTATACAAAAAAAATCATAATTACTGTAGGATTAGATGCATTCTTCCCATTAGCTTTCAAGATGTCTGGATTTACCATAACAGCAAACACAAGGAGCGGTGGTCTGTTGCTGTTAGGGCCACACCCTTGATGCACCTGTATCATATAAGTAAGATGTAAATGTTACTATATTATGATGTACTATTTATTTTCCTTAGAAGGTAACAGTTAAAAAAATTAACAGATTTGGTAAAATTTTACAAACAATGGTTTTGTCTCTACCAAATTCTAAAACTTTTCTCCCGAGTGCACTTATATTATTATTTTTTCTTTATAGATAAGGATTGTTTTTATATTAAATATTATAAATAGTTTTATTTACACCGTAAAGTGAGCTATGCACCGTAAATATTTCGCGTAATTTCTTTTAAGTTAATTACGAATATTTTACATACCTGCATACCACCATATAATGGTATAGGATCCGAATACTGTTTTGGATTCGCTATTTTCTGCCATCCCAAAACATTGATATATAACTTCTCCGAAGTGTCCCTTATTGAATCTTGTATACACATATGAGGTTGTGGAGGATTTTTGAATTGTCGAAATGCACGTGAACCTCGAACATACTGTATAGGTGCTGTTCTTTCTTGTGGGTTTTGATTTTCCATGTCAATATTAATAATAATTGCGATAAAAAAACTGAATTACTTAAGAAAACTGGCAAAAATGTTCATTAAAAATAATACCGATACGAAAACTCAAATGACATTTCTAACACCAACAGGCCTTCTCGATACAGACCTGTCATCCCAAGTTTATTGAACTTTCTACAGCTTACCGATCCGAACCATCACCAAATTAAAACACAAACGGAAACGATCACGCGATTTGTTTATCTAAGTTCGGGCTCGAGTTCCTACAGCTTCATAAGTCTGTTAATAAAAGCTTCAATGTATAGAATGAAGTAAAAATAAAGTATATCCGTTCCATCCATTAGAGAGGAACAATGTCAAACGAACGCAGACTTTTTTTTACTCTCGGACAACAGACTGAGTCTGAGGCAAAGTTGAACAATCTGATATTCCTATTAGAATTTAAGAATTTACATTAATTATTTCTTTCAAATGTTAAGTTTTTGATAGTATACTTGTTATACAAACTTTTTTATTGCATGTGTTTGCAGATATAAATTTTTTCTACAAAAAGAGGTATTTTTTTCCCATAAGTTATCTCAGTCTAACTGTAATAATCCACTGCCCTTAGAACACTTTCAACTTGAACTTACTAATGTCATTGCTTTTTTTATAGATCAAGTATATTTGGTGTTATACCGGTGAAACAAAAGAAGAAACCCATCATAAGACTGTCCACTCCACTTCCACAATAGTGAGTTTCATGTTACATTTAGAGAAGTGAGAGGCGAAAATCTTTATGATTATCAATATCCCCGTCATTGCCACATAGTCGATTTTTGAAATTTTTAGCTCCCCTATGTTCTCCAGGCTAGGCTCTAGACTATGTTTAAATAAGATATGTTTTGCTAAACAAAAGAAACAGGCGCTATGTAAATAAGAAACCTGTGAATTTTTGTTTCTACACTTTATTTTACTACAGACATCTACTTTTTCGGCCATTTTACTAGACTGCTTGGAGTAGTATTCGTATCTTTATTTTCTAAGCAATGTATAGTAACTATAAGCTCCCTTAAGGATCTGAAAAGAAAATAATTTAGTTTAAAGGATTACCTTTGGATAGTCCTATTTCTTAGATGAGTTTTAAGGATCAGGTTACTATACCGTCAGAAAGGTCGACAGCGTAAGGTTTGTAAAGGGCCCAGCTGTAAACGTGTGGACTCGGCTCAATTGACCAGCAAGGAGGATAACATTCTTCCGTTGTCGTGGGCCGGCCGTCCACCATTCACTTTCGTATGGACCCAACATAACATTGCCGCTCTAGAATAGGAAGGAAATTCTAAGAATTTAAACTTTGATTGCGGATTTAAACCATTTTAAAAAATCCTCTTTCATCTTTCTGCCATTTTCTTTTGCCGCATAAAAGTTTAGAGATGCAATTGTTAATTTAATTTAGCACAGTCTCAGTGAACGCTTGAGGATTTCCCTTTCGCTTTTTAGGCCAGTATTAAAGTTAAAAAGCGATATACATGTGTACTTACCTTTACGATGACGTCATTGCTGTGCCAGCAAAATAGAAAAAGCTGCATGATGCCGAATATCAAATATTCAGCCATAAGTACCTTCTGTGTTGTGTTCGTAGCACTCTAAGATAAAGAGTAGAGAAATATACACTAAAATTCATATCATTTGCTGTATATTTTGCGAAAGTGAGGCCAAACTAACCCGAGAGAAACCTTCTCAAGTAAAAATGTTATTAAAACTAAAAATATAAGTTGAAATGTTTAAGAATGTACGTACAGTTAGTTGGAAAGCGCTAAAACAAAGTACTGATGAGCACATTATCACGTAGAGGAACATTACGGGTGACAGTAAAGAGTTGAACAGCTTTGCGTTCCTGAAACAAATACTCTTTGGATTAGAAGTTAGGTGATAACCTTTGATTGACTTACGCATAGTGTGCAGAGAAGGAAAATTAGTTGATTTATATTTAATCTTACTTCATTAAAAGATCATGGATGCTGTGAAGTTCCTTCATAGTCGCTCCTACTTCTTCATTACTCACACCCAGACCATTGGTTCCAAAAATCTGCCTGCATCGCTCCCGGAGTAAATCAAGCTTCCCACCGAAATACACCATGATAACCATCACACTGGTATCGTAAGCTGCCATAATACCACCCCCATAAATACACATTAACGCATGGTACAGAATGGTGAACCAATAACCCGTTGAAGTATATTTATCATACGGTACCCATGAACTGAAGATGTGTGGAAAGGATTCCGTGCCGTTAGTCAAAGCGTCACGATATTTCGATGACGATAAATATTTCAATAGCGGAGTATTAGTCACAGTAATTACGGTCATACAAACCAGAAGCCAATAGAAATAAACGACTTTACGACAGTATTTTGTATATTTGGCGATAATTCTTTTTTTAATTGAATCTCTATTATCTCTCTCGTATTTATCAGCTTCGGTAATATAGTCAATGAGCTGTTTCCACTTACACTGCCAGAAGACGAAAGTGTTGGCTTTGACGACGCAAACGATACTCAACATTGATATTTTCAAGTTCGTTAGCACTAGATCCAAGTTAGACCTGATGACAAATAACTCCAAGTATTGTGTGAACACGAAAAAAGTGACAAAAGAATGCAAGAAAATGTACAAGACTTTTCCTATTTTATTATCAGGTAGGATCAGACCCATTTTCCTTAACATCCAATAATTCGGACCAAAAAGAGGTTTTTTTGGATCTTCCAAGCTTTCTAGAAACTTTGCTATCATTTTGTTAATATAGGATGTTTAATAGAGAGTTTAAAAATGAGCGAGGACATATTTTGTTGGTTATTTATATAGCCTCCTTATTTGGCGAAATATCGACTAATAGCTACACGAATATCTGTTTAATTATGAATGAAATACTAAATGTTTCCTTAATTTTTAAATTTTCTCATATATATTCTAGAGCGATATACCATAGGGTTGTCTAGATATTTTACTATGCTGCCATAAATAAGCCAAAACCAGGCAAATTAGTTTTTATTATGACTACGATAATTAAAGAACGAGTTCCGAAGTAAGGCGACAAGAACATGGTCAATATATGAAAATTTGCGATAAGCATATTTATTAAGTAAAAATAAAAAATAAAAGCATATTTTTTAGGTTACACCAAATGAGACGCTACCCTTTAACTTGCAACTAATCCAAGTTATGATAATTGATAATTGTTAGCCACAGTGTGTTTAAGTTATGCGAGGAGATGAATTGAGCACTACTTATTGAAATAGTGTGATTAAAAAAATTAACGTACAGATCAAATAATATTTAAGGGACATCACTAAATGCGACAGGCGTTTCTCTTAAAATGGTATTGCATGATATTTGAAACCAATAATTTAGATATGTCGAAACGGGCTACGGGCGGCGAAATATGGGCGTGGTATTCGAGTCGAAGAGGTGTCTCGAAATAAAAAAGTAATGAAGTTGTCGATCATAGTATTGTCGAGGACAAATGATATGTAATTATTTTTTTGGTATAATAATATTCATTTTGAACGCATAGGACACATATCATTTTAGTGTTTTATGATTACAAAGGGTTAGCATACATACCTTGTATGCCTTATCCCGCTCCAATGCTGACCGTCAGGGGCGAATAAGGTCGAAGATACTTTGAAAGCGAAGGATTTAATTTCCCAATAAATAGTGAGCATTACTTTTATTCAAAGGTACTTCTTTAGAATAATCGAGTAGACTTATTACAAACTTTTGTAACCAATGTTAAGTACTGCTCTAAATACGTTATTCAAAAGATTTTCTATTTTATATCCACCATCAGCGAGATCATTTTTAGAAGATGTCCAAACATTTACATGTTATGTTTTTATAGCAGGTTCCGGCAGGTTAAGGCGCGACCCCATCTACAATGGCGAAACCACAACAATCTATACCACGGAACTTTCCAATCAATACAAAGAAACGTCAAAATACTTAAAAATATATAGTGTCATGTTCTGTATCTGTGTTTTAGCTTTTAGTGTTTTAATTTCAAAATAAATGAAATAAAAGAATGAAAGTATTTGATTTCACAAAATTATTAATGCTTATTAAAAAAAAATAAACAGTTAAATAAATTCTGTGGAAATGGTGAGCTGTGTCGTTGTTAGGTGCAGAAATTGTTCGGGGAAAATATCAAAAAATAAGGACGGAATTACATTTCACAGGTAAAGATGTTTAACAATATTCTTATTTATTATGTTTTGTACTGATTCCTTATGTAATATACACAAGTAACGTTTCAATCATTGAATTTTTATAATTGAAATGTTAAGTAATTAGTAAAAATTTAATTTCTATAGATTTCCGCGGGATAAAGTGAGAAAAAAAAAATGGGAAATTGCTGTCAATCGCGAACTAGGCTGGAGGTCGTCTGCATCAAGTACAGTATGCTCTGAACATTTTGACGCCAAAGATTTTTACTTGACAGAGAGTGGATTACGGAAACTTTCACAAGATGCCATACCTTCTATTAATATATCAGTAAGTTCGAACATAAATTTACAAAAAGGAACATAAAGATTATACAAACTGCACTTTCACCCTGCTGTGCATTCATTTGAGTAGAGATACTCTCACAGCTAACCAAAAGTCTCCATAAAGTTTGAATGTTGTAACATAAATTATTTTCCGAAGTATGGTTAACGTGATAAATGATGATAATCTCAATAAGACAGTCACTCTTTTGTTCTTAAATTGCATATTAATTGTTCAAACAAATTACATCTTAATTTTAGGCATGTCAAGACTATGAACCTACTATATCCGACTCTGACACAGTGGTGATAAACCCAAATGATTCAGAGGAAGTTGTACAACTGAAATGTAAAGTCCGTAGGCTGGAAGAGCTCGCTGAAATGCGGAAAAGAAAGTTGAATCTCATGTGGCAGGGGAAAAAGAGACTCAGAAAGAAATTTGCACAAATGAAATATCTTTTAAAACATATGATTAGATATGATCAATATAAAGAAGAACAGAGTAATTCACAGACTTGAGAAAATGACAATTTAACTCTATGACAAAGAGCAGGGGGTGGCAACATATGGTTATTTAGTATTGCTATAAAAAAAAGATATCTCTGACTCCCTATAAACCTTAGTGCTAATTTTGAGTCACTGCGCCTTGTAGTAAAGAAAAGGTTGCCAATTCCTGGCATATGAAGTTGCAGACTTAACATTGTCTACTTGTAAATACTTAAAATTAAAAAAAAATGTATCCTGTTTTTTTAATTGTTATTGCTTATACTTAATAAATGTTAAGTAGTCATTATATACTAAGACATTCTTAAATAATATTTATTGGTTTACCTCTATTTAACTTTGGTGTTGCAAACTTAAAAAAAATGTGTGTCATAATTATTATAATATATTTAATTGTTAATTGTCTTTGTAACATGAATAAATAAATGTTAGAAATAAATATTGTTTTATTTGTTAACATTATTCACTTTTATTTGTCGTCCCTTGTGTGTATTGCAAAGAATTGGAACAAGTTGCCGGCTTCGGTTTGTTCAAGAGTAGAGTGAATAGGCATTTATTAGGCTAGTGCGTACCCTTAATCATCACTTAACATCAGGTGGGAGTGTGGTCAAGGGCTAGCTTATTCAACATTAAAAAAAAATACGATAAAAAAAAATCTTAAATTTTTTTGAAGAATGATCCAACTGGATACCAAAAATGATACGGGTTTGATAAATATTTAGAGGTATTTTGAAGTTTTCATTTAGTTTGCAATATTTCTTTTCGGATTAAATTTGATTTTATATACCTTTTTAAAGTTCACACCTTAATGTGTCTTATACAGTCGAATCTGGATTTTTTTTCTATATCATAAGGTGACAAACGAGCGAGCGGCCACTTGAAATCGCTGAAATAGCGAAGTGACCGTTGCCCATAGACATACGCAATTGCATATGCGTTGCCTACCTTTAATCGACGGAGGAGAGAATGCACGGAAAGAAAATATTCTCCCTTCTCATGCGTCAGCAAAGGACAATGATTCGCTCATAGAGGTTTTTCACACATCCAGGTTCGATTTATCCTTTTAAAGATAAAACCGTGGGTCTGCGTTCAATATATATTTATTTAAATGCCAAGGCCGCTCAATAGGTTTTTTATTATCTAAATCAAATGAAAATGAAGAAGTTTAAGATAATCGTAATTGATTTGGATGACCCAAAGAAGTGTCAAGAAATTCGGTAAAAATGCTATATAAGGATTTTTATGGTTTATACTACAGACATGTTTATTGAAAGTAATAAAAATTTTGTACGTAAGTTTGAGGATTTGAGCTATTCATATGTTTTGCAATCTTTTTTTATATCACAAGGTGGCAAACGAGCGAGCGGCCACCTGAGCGGCAATCTTTACGGCAACAAGCCCCTTAGAGAGTTTTTTTTCTGTTACGTTTGTAGACAAATTGTACATACATCAACATCGTTCATAAATCGGAGAATAATGATGTTTTAATTATACCAATTTAAATCAGTAGTAATTAATATCTGGCTATCTGTGTCTTGTGGTAAGTTTCGGACTGTCCGAGCGAAAGGTAATATGTGAAAGGCGACAGAGATTAGGTTAAGAGCAACTAGAAACAAATACATCTAACAAGAAATTGTATCATGTCTTACTTTCGCATACACGTATTATGTTCGTGAAAGCTGACAATATAACGTTACTTGTAATAAAGATATCTAATATATTTGATACTATTATAGGTGTAGCCCGCGACTCCCTCCGCGCGGAAATAAAACTTAATTAATAGCCTATGTGCACTTCCACACTATGTTCTACGTCTATGCCAAATTTCGGCGAGAACCATGCATCCGTTCTGTAGATACCTTCAAACAAACATCCATCCATGCAAACATACGCATTTATAATATTAGTAAGAAGTAAGATTAGTAAGATATAATATGCCATATGTGTATGTAATGAATAGCAATGCTAAAAGGAATTAAACTACAACAGAAATTTTTAACATCGCTTTGGTTAAAATTTATAAAAATCTAACTTATGTAATCTTGAGAAAAAAACATCGTATTGATGCCATTTATAAACAATCATGTTCATATTGGAATTAAAACTTTCGTTATAAATACAAGTAACGGAATTCACTGCGATTGCTTGCATTGCTTACTGATAGCTTATCTCTTTTAAAAACACCAGCTGTGCTACAGCCAATAACTTTCGATATAACCTGCGTCCATTGATTTGAAGCCTGCGCTTGCGCATTAGTGGGGGCAACTCCCACTTGCTCGTCTCAGTACCTTCACCGCCGTCGCAGCAGATGCACGTATCGACGCCGTTCGAATTCAAAACACGATCGAAAACTATTACGTTATCTCTCGCATTTAATTAATCTAATTCTTAATTAAAAGTTTATGTGCACTTTTTAAAGCGATGTGTAAAAGTGAACGTGCGTATTCGTACGATGTTTGTGTGCGTTCCGATGTGTGTCATTGAATGTATTGCGCTTACTAGTTGCAATACAGCGAAAATGTGACTGTTTGTTATTGCAAGTGTGTACCATCGATCGTTTGATCGAAAAATGGCCATTAATGACATTCCATAATATACTGATGTTCAATAAGATGCGCGAGTTCTTAAGGATCACTTTGGTGTGTGTTTGTGCTGTTCTTTTGGTGCGCGATGGCTGGTGCGCGGAGGACGTGGTCTCCTCGGAAGTGACGGTGGAGTCGGAACCGATAAGCACGAGGTCTGATGACGCTGAGCAACGGAGGGATAGACAGAGCACTCTTTTGCCAGGTAAGGTGAAATCACCAATTTGTTTAAGATCGCAATTAATTAAGAATTGAAGTAAGCAGATATCTACGACAAATTCGTGTAGTATGTAGAATTCTCTATATTTTATTAACGTTAGCAGTGCGTCGAATTATTTTGTTCTGCTTAAATTATTATGAAACTAAGCCTAACGACAGTCTACGAGAAAACGCATAGTGAAAATCAAAAACAAGATGAAAAACTTGTTCCAACCCTCTTAGCAGAACAGAAGATCGTCAATTTGCGAGGTAAGTATATTATTATGATGATTAAAAAGATAGAAACAAACGATATGAATATTAATATTTCTAGCGTAGAGAAGCCACCTGCGAATAACATCTGAGCTATCGGCCGGATATCTTCACGTAATCGGAAAAGAAAATCGTAATACAATATGTAATCCGGTGTTTATGTGGAAGCATTTATTATACCAATCTATTATGTAGTCGGAGAGTAGTCATTGTTTAATTAAAACTGTTTTATATATAAAAAAACAAATGACTATATACTTGTGACACTCCGGGAAAGAATAGGAGGCGAATCATTGTTTAAAATTGAGTTTAAGCTTTTATCAAAAATTATATTTACGTAATACTTCAATAAATAATCTTCACATTGTGTAACTCGATATTAGTGATTTACTTAATGCTAGCTGTCCGCCGAAACGCGAGAAATTAAAAAAAAATAATTAGTAGCCTACGTGTTTTTTCAGACTATGTTCCACATCTATGCACAATTTTAGCTAGATTCATGTAGTCATTATGGAGATACCGTCTAACAAACATCGATTCATCCATCCAAACACTCATATTTATAATATTAGTATGATTAATATTGATTAAATAATATATTTCCTATTAAAATTCTTAGGTTAACATATAAATTGTATAAGTTTTTGGTCAAAACATCGAGATTGTGCGCCCACGCATATGATTTTATTACATTTTTACCTAATATGGTAAAATATTTCAAGCTGATATTGGAAATAATAGGAAATCATAAAAGATACGTATATTACAAAATTGTAGAACTGACTTATAAAACTATGCCACCAGAAAAAAAAACATTTTAATCCAAGATTTTAAAGGCAAATTTGTCTTAACCATAGATAAGTAATTCTTCTCTATATCCTTATTTAATCATTGGTTATTCTTAAATGTAAAACATACCAGTATTTTTCCAAGTATTGCGTTAAAAATTCAAACAAGACTAGGTAGTAAGTAATTCAAAGAGTTTAATACTGGTTAGATGTTGTAATTATCAGACCTACATTCTAATTTAGCATATTGCGTATGCGCAATCGATCCTAAGCAGAACAAACGTATATAAACCCTTGAAATGTTAAATGAATTACGCAAATATGTACAATACGTTTTTAGGAGACTGTGTGGTGAATTCTTAAACGATTGCTTAAATAACTAAAAACTAATACAGAGTTAAAATAAATAATTAAGCATTTGTAAATTCAAATTAAACAAAATAATACGCATTTAAAAGTTTCGTTGTTTGTATATTGATGAAGTTTGGATTTCTCTTGCCATCTCAATGTTATGATTTAAACTAACTGTCTTCTGCTACTCTGTCCACGTGGAATGAAAAAAAGATTTAATAAGTACAAAGATATAGTAAACACAATTTGTGTTCTCCCAGAATGTGCTCTATATGTATGCCGAATTTTATCGAGATCCATCTATCAAATATCCATTCATTCATCTATCTAAACATTCGCATTTATAATATTAGTAAGATGTTATTCTCTAACATTTTATTCACAGTAAACCCACGTTCTTACTCCAGAATTTTGTCCCATTTCGTTTTACTTCTATAGACAGAGAATTTCCTAGTCCAAAACATTACAATGCTTATCAAATAAAATATAAAATAGCTGTAACGTTTAAATTGAAGTGACATAACTGGGAGCATATTAATAAGATTCGTTTGTTGTGAAAACGTTGTACTGAACGCGACTTCGGTTGCCGTTCGGGTTGCGCAACGCGCTGCGGCGTGCGAAAACATTTGCATTACAAAGAGCCCAGCGCACGCACTATGCGTGCCGGTACAATGCGACGCTTCTAATATACACATCTAATGGGTAATTCACAACGCAAACGGGGTCACTGCACTTTGTTTAGTTTCTACCGACTAAATGCCGCTCTCATAAATAGTGTAGATTTCTCATACTTATTCTAATCTCATGTGTGCAGCCAAGGCGTTGCCATGGGGGAGAGGGAGATAGTTGCCCTCAAAGATATATAAATCTTACATTTAAGCAACTGTTTGACTTATAGTATATATTTTGATCATAACTGCGCACGTATAGCGCAAATATGCATTTAGAAATCCTGAAGAATTCAATTAAATACCTGTTTATTAATTACTAAAATTGTAGAGGAAAATGTTAATTGTTACGCTATTATCGTTAAGTTAATTAATAAGAAACAACATCAGGTGTCGCATGGCGTGAAGCTAACTGCAGAGCTGTTAACAGATAATTTATAGACAAGAAAAGATTGTGCTATATTATTGTGTTATACGATAAATACTTTGAAGTTCCCAGCTTA